TAACATGATTTAAATATTATCTTATAAGATCTAAGATTAAATCATTTTTATAATCTTAAATTTAATTTTTCAACAAATTCGCATATTTAAATTGAGTTATATATGATTTGCAAATTTAACTTTTTTATATTATTTCAATTATATATCTTAAATGCAACTCATACATTAGTTGACTTATTCACATGAAATTCAAAATTTTAATTTAATTTTTATTTATTAACGGATTTTGTAAAAATCTTATTTTAATATTATTTTAAATAATAATTACTTATAAATTACAATATAACAAAAATGCAAAGTTATTAATAAATATGAATATGTTAAGTTTTACTAAATTTTTATACTAGTATTAATTATATATCTCAGAGACTACAAAGTTCTTTAAAATTCTCTTAAATATCAACAAAATTAAATAAATTTGCTTATATTTCACTCTAATTTTGAATTTAGAGAATCTATATACCTATTTATATTTGAGATACTGATTGTTTATTATTTTTAAAAATAATAATTATTTATAAAATAAAAATATAATTAACAAAAGTTAAATCATAACAAATTAACTATTATTCATTTATCATGATTTCATATGATTTTATCATATAATATATTAAAATTTAAGGTTAAAAAACCTATATAATAATATGATAAAAGCTAACCTAACTGAGGTATGAAGATTTTTATAAACTCATTCTCTATATTCATATTTATTTTTTTATTATCAAAGTGTTTAATATTTTGACTTCACTATTTCACATGAAACTATCAACATAAATTTAGTTTGTTTTTTTTCCTAAGATTGACTCAATATAGAAGGAAGAAAACCATATAAATTGACTTTCTCTTTGAATTTATAAGACATAAATCAAAATAATTTGAAAAGTATTCTGAATTGGAAACTTGTAGACTCATGGACGTGACTCTTAACCTATACCATAACTTAGTCTTGAACCTCTTGACCCAAAAACAATTATTAATCATAATAGGAATGTGATGACATGTTAAAAAAGAAAAAGATGTTACTCTACACTTTGTACTTGGAGATGGAGGAACCAAAACTCATGTCTTCACATGAATAGGTAGAAGAGATATAATTGGAACGTGTGGAATGGATGAATAACTGTCAATATAAAATGGGAAATGAGTGTTCGGTATAGTAGTTGAGAGAAAGTGCATAAAGTTTTTTAACAAATAACATTTTGTACTCTCCTAATGTGAAAATAACTTTTAATATGGAAAATAGCCTAAAAATGATATGTGACAATAAAATAAAATAAATGTTATGTACACCACTAAACCCTAATGCTTTGACCAAGTCACCCACTAGTAGTAGTCTAGTCTTGTTATGCTACTGATCAGAAAACCATGAGATATATTACTTTGAATCATATTTTTTTTCTGATTTTTTTTATAGATTTAATGAAATTCACCTTGAGATTAATTTTCAATAAAAATATATTATACCAATATTGATTTTGTTGTTGCGGTAATAATAATATTTTGTTTGAAGGATTGAAAAGAAAGTAAAAAAATAAATAAAAAAGTAAAATAATAATGAAAAAAGAAAAAAAAATTATGTATGATAACAAGGAAAAAAAATTTAAAATGATTTTTTAATCTTTATTTTAAAAGTACTTCAATTTTAACGTTTAAGTTAAATTACTTCCGAATTTCAGATACAGGGTCTTCCGGTGTGCTATTGCTAAGACCATTGTATCTCAATATTAACATACATTCCCACAACCTAGTGCCTATGAATTAGGGAGATAATAAATTGAAAACAAACTTAGAAAACAATCTAATTACAAATTTTTAATAAAATTTTATATTTTATATTATTATTTTATTTATAAATAAAATTTGTTGGAATTATTTTATTTAGAATGAAGAGATTCATATGTACGTACCATTACTCTATCAATTAATATGAATAAAATGTAAATGCAGAACCCACTTAACATATAAAAATCTGGAGACACATTATCTAAATTCTACAAAGGATTTTACCAATCTTTAATATATATATAATTTATAACTTAATTTTACAAATTGAAGGATATCAATGTTCAATAATATACTAACGAACAGACAAAGAAAAGCACATGAATTGATACTAGGAAAAAACACATGAATTGATACGTGAGATCATCTTTCAACCTGTAACTTTTTTTTTTATTTTTTTATTGAAGGAACATTTTGAATGGTCAAGAGATTTGGTCCTGTAATTATCACAAGATTTAAATATTCGGACTCATCCCACTTGTTTCTTAATCTTGTTCTGTCGAATAGTTGTTCAACTTTTACAATGAAAATTCTTTCTGGGCTAAGACCAACACATGAAAACAAATCCCTCCAATCACTCACTGAGACATCTGATTCTGAATTTTATGTAGTATAATGCAGAAACGTCCCCATTAGTCCTTTTTTATTCTTTTTCTTCTGTTTAGGATAACCAAACACGAGGAAGTATGAACCACCGCTGGTGTGTTCATTTTTTTTTTATGCAAAAACACGAAACAGAGATATTTAGACTGACAAATAATACTTATTTAAGTGCATTGAAAATACATGGAAAAAAATGCACCAAAATGAAAGCAGTGACTTAGATGAACTCTAAAACTATCGCATTTGTTATGGGGTTCGCAATTTTCTCAAGAATATATGAAAAAGAAAGTGGAAAGATAATGTCAACTTGCTTTAGGACAAGTCAATTACAAATTAATAACAATAAGTTGTTATAATTACTATTGCGGCTGTAAATTTAATCAACTTTATTATAAAATGGTGATTAAAATATTGAAATCAAATTAAATTTATAACATTAAAAAAGTCTGGTACGAATATTTATGAGAAAGATTGTTATGGTCTAATATTAAATAATATCAGGAGAGTAACAAGTGTGATTTGTGGAATTGAATTCAAAATTTTAAACTAGATTTCAAAATTAAGATTTTGTAATTTAAAACAATTGGAATCAAAGATTGGTTAATTACTAATAAAATTGATTAATCAAGATTTAAAGGTAGATTGATTAATTATTAATATTAAGGAGTTGTCTAATATAATTGAAAAGGTTGAAACTATGAGAAACAAACACAATGTTTGTATTTTTTTTTCAACAAGTATATTTGCAGTCCTTCTTAGAAGTTTTCTTTGTTTATTTTTTTTATACAAATTGGTAGAAAATAAGAAGATTTTTTTAATATATTCTATTAATATTGTTATACAATTATATATATATATATATATATATATATATATATATATATATATTCTATTAGCATTATTATTTATATCAAATCACCAATAATCACGTCTGATTGATGAATCAACTAAAAAATAAGAATATTTATTTATTTTTATAAATTATTGTTAAATTTGTTATGTTATCAAGAGAAGGTCTACATGTTTATTTATTTTGATTAATACAAATTTTTTGGGTTAGAAAAATATTGTCGGGTAAGGGGTAATGAGATTTACTTATTCTACAAAATAAAACAATATTTTTAATAATTATTTTTTGTTGATTTTTTGAAAAATATTTTTTTTAAAAGACAAAGAAAACTTGTGTTAAATAACTAAAAGTATATTTAAATATTTTCCAAAGTTAAATAAGGAAAATAGTGGTTAACACTTGTTTAAATGTTTAGTGTTCGTATTGATGTCATTAAAAAAATTATATTATTTTAAATTTAATTCAATTAATAATTGATGTCATGTAATAATCACATATTATATTTATTAACATGTGAGACATTGAATATGTATATGATGTAGCTTAACACTAATAAAGGTTACGCAAATTACACATCATGGAACAGTATTAGTTTTTTTACATTTTAAATTTTTTTATGCATAATTTTCTATTTATGATTTATCTGTACCATTTTGTTTTTAATATTATCCACATATATGCTTTATTTTTATACTAGTATTTGAGTATTTGTTGAAATTTCCATGATTTGTCAAGTGATTTAATTTTATAATTATTTATCAAAATATGTTTAAATTAATTCAATCACGAAATTTAATTTTTTGGCTAAAATTTCACAACATTCCACAAATTAAATTTCACAACATTCCACAAATTAAATTTCACAGCCCGATAAATTTATAAAAGAAATATAATCTTCAACGTATTGTTAAATTAATAACATGAATTTGACTCCGTTTTAGCGCTTATTAGGATTCTTCATGAGTTGGATTCAAAGGCCTGCGAAAAATAGGAAGAGGTTTCGTGTGTTTTGGGTGATGACAGTGCGTAAGGAAGGATTCATATCTCATTTCACAATTCAAAAGCTTCATTTTCATTTTTCACGATGAAGAACCATCACAATTCCACACAACCAACATGAACAATGAGGGATAGGATCAGTTCACCATTCATGCCAAACAGCATTTGTCAATAATTTGATCCCCCATATTGTGCGGCAATTACGAACCCTAGAATACGATTCCCTTACCCCTTCCCTTTCATATCTTCCGTTTTTTTTTGCTCTGTTCATTGTTATGTCATTGTCGAGAGGATACATCGTTATTTCACTATTTTGCATAGCGTTGCCTTGTTAGTTGTTGGCGCTATTTTTTAAATTTTTTTTCAGCTTCACGTCATAATCTCGAATTTTCTTTTCCCTGCTACTCTATCAATTAATCAATGTTTACAGCATATTAACGATTCAAATCCGAGGACAACAAGGAATCCCATTTTTTGTCTTATTCCTTAATCATTAGTTTGAGTCTGGGGGAAGAGATAGGTTAATCACGAGAGGTAATTTTGTTTTTAAAATTTTACCGTATGTTAGAAAATCAAATGTTAATTTAAAATTACTTAATCTGATCATACTACATCATAAGTTATAAAATTTTAATCTCACATCTGGCTGTTGCCTTATTCGTATTTGAATTGCAGGTTTAGTTTCACTAGCCAGCTCCTGCTTGTTCCACGTAATGTCCATATCAATGATTGAGATTTGTAGATTAAGAATTATGGTGTGTTTGAGATGTGTCAAGGTCTGAAAGGGGCAAAGGAATTTGCTAATGGGTGCTGGTCATTATTGATAGTATTACCTAAAAGGGAGAGTTGTTTGTGTTGGTTATTATAGTATATGCATGATGCAGCGAGTATGGGAGGATGTTTTATTGGTGTGAAACGTTGAAGCTGGTCTGTAGAGAGTTTGCCTGATGTAATGCCACGTTCTGTGAAGGTGAAGTCGGAGGCTACGTTAGAGACTGTACAGGAGATTGCCATCTATCTTCATAGGTTTCACAATCTTGACCTTTTCAAGCAGGGGTATATTGTGCAGACATTCATTTTTTACTTCTGTTATTTCTGCTTTCTAATTTTCGTTATTGAATTTCTAATATCGTAAACCAATGCTTGTCTTGTTTTGTATAGATGGTATCGGATTAAGATTACTGTGAGATGGGAGGACAGTGAAAATATATCTTTCGGTATTCCAGCTAGTGTTGTTCAATATGAAGGTAACTTAACAAAATTACACTCTGGTGAGTTTGTGTGAGAGTAAACTGGGTAAATATTTATACCCTACCCAGGATTCATTATCTGTTTAGCACATGCAGAATATACTTCTTACTTACATATATTTATTATAATTTGCCCACCATTTAACGCACATTTGAGTGGTATTATAATTGTTTTATCTGTATTTATGGAAAATTTGCATTAAGATTTAAACTTATTTGCAAACAGACACCACAAATTTTGCAATCTTTAATCCAATTGCAATGCAAAATTATAATCGCTTGATACAAATTTGAAATTGAGTAAGTAGGAAGGTCAATCTTAAGATATAGTCTCTCCCAGCCACTTTAGTCCTCAATGAAGTAAAAAGGGGGAGTAATTAGGCTTGACCCTCACCTTCATAATTAAATAATCCTAAGAAACTTTTAAAAAATGAAAACAAAACATTCTATGGTCATGTGTAAAATTCTTCCAAGTTTGCTTCCCTGTGATTACTAATCTGGTAGTTAATGGAAACTCTTTATATAATCATACAATAGGTGAATGAAATATGTAACAACAACTTACAGAATCATACATATATCACAGCAAATCAGCAACTCCTCCCTCAACTGAAAGAGTCATACAAATATAAAATAGCAAGTCGGCCATACTTCTCTATACTTTTCTACCTATGATTTGAAATACTTTTCTGTGCATTTTTTTTGAAAGAATTTTGAATTACCTCTTTTACTTCATAAATGTAAACCGTTATGCGTTTTTTCTCATGATCAACTAGCCAAAGCACACGCATAAGAGGCCCCATAACCTGAAGGGTGTAGACGACGTCATTCCAAATGCAGGGTATAAGAATGGTGTTGGCTGCCCTCTTCTCCTTGCGGTCGTTAGAATCCTAGTCGCTCTATATATTCATCTGAAGTTTACATCCTCCTAAGATTTTTTTTTTTCTCGATTACAGCCTCAACGTAAGAAATGATGTAGCAAATCTTGTCACTCCATGTCTAACTAATTCATCTTGTTTGTGAACTTTCACATCATGTTCAAGGCCAAAATGTCAACAAGACTATTTGCATTGTCTTTATAACTTTAACCATCTTCCGGATGTCGTCTACTGTCAAATCTAGGCGATGGGCAGCACATGGAGTTCAAAAAAATGTTTCCTCTTTCTTTGTAAAAGTTTCCCTGTAACCAAATCAAACATACAATGAGTAACAAATTAACAACTAGCAATTAAAATATTGAAACTAATCAAGAATCAAATTTGAATAATTCTTACCGACCAACACATAATTACCTTTGTCTCTTATCACTTGCACTACATTTTGTTTTCAATCCCCTCAACAAAACTATCCAGGAGCTCATGTTTCTCCCCGGTATTCATGTACCCCTACGCATAAGCGCTCTTAACAAACATTGATCCCCTTTGACAATTTACCGAAAAATTTATTTCAGTAAAAGGCATGACAGATATTAATATTGCAAACAACGGGAATCAAGTACGATTAAAGAATAAAAACAAATAAGGTGCTTTGCTGATTTGAAATATAAACATTGTGGGGTTACTGTATTTAATCATTTATTTGTCATCCTTAGAGCTTCACTTTTTTATAATTGCTGAACAGAAGTAACAAGTCCATGTGAGAGCATGGCGGCCATAAGAACACATCCATAGAAGTTTTCCCCCGTTAAGATTTGTTAAGTTAAAATGGTAATAAAAATGAAGTAAAAGCATTATTAAGATATGAGAGAGATGGATGATTAGGACGATGCCTCATCATCCTTTTTCAATAAAGTAATGGAAGAATGATGGAAAGACCTTTTCAAATAATTGTTGTAATTTAAGGATTAAGTTGAAAGATTTCATAATTTACGATGGGGTGATTGCTTTTAGTTGAAACTTTGAAATCATATTATTTATTATTATATGATATAATATTATTATTATTGTTCACTGATAAGATTTTATCATTAGGCTTATTATTATATCTCGAACATATATCAATGTGCTAACTTGTGAATTATTTGACGTGGTCACTCTTTCTTGGGTGAGTTCTTCAATTATATGGATAAATTTTTGGCACAAGAACACTAATTTCCTCAATATTGTAGTATTTCCAGAATTAACTCTTTTTGTTCATTATCTTCTGATAGTTTGATTTTTGTGCTTTCCACATTTTGGTTGATATACCTCAAAAGTAGTAACTTGAACTATAAAAGCAACAATGATCCCTGGCAATGGAGCCTTGTCTACCTTCATTACGTTATTTCTCGTGCTGAACCTTGATATGACTTATTACATTATGAATGTTGAAACTTGAGGCCCAAAATAGTTAAAAAGGATATGGGAACAGGAAAATGTTAGAAACTGTTCAGTATGTCATAATTGGGATTGCATTTGTAGTTTCCTGAGTATGTTTCATAGCCATGCATGAGATTGAGTTTCTTGTTACTTTATTCTAACATATATATATATATATATATATATATATATATATATATATATATATATATATATATATATATATATATATATATATATATATATATATATATATATATATATAACAAAATTGTTATCTTTACTTTTCAGTTTGTCGTAATCTAACAGTCATATCTGTTGGATTAAATGAAAAAGAAAAGTTATTTTTGGAGTGATTTGATCCATCCTCTCTTCCTCCCTCTTTTGTGTGTATGTTGTGGATATACAATTTTCTTTGTATGAAAACTATAAGAGAAGCTTTTCTTATATGCAAGTAATACTGAGGTAAAAAATCTTTGGTTCTGCAGTTCCTCCTGATCTGGATCCTAGCAGTATACATGGTGGATGGAGGATCGATGATACAGATAATAGTTTCTCAACACCATCTTTTCGGATAAAATATGCTAGGCAGGATGTTCATTTATATATGATGGTCGTGTTCAACTTACCCCGAAGTAAATTTGTGGTAATAATCACTCTGTCACTTATTTTCTTTACATGGATAACATAGGAAAGGGCACCTTGAGCGAATCAGATTGTGTCTTGAGTGCCAAGTTTCTGTTATTAAGATTCCTTGGTCACACAATGTTGGTTAGCATATATTTTGTATAATTTAGTTTATACACATGCTAGTGCATTGTGTAACCACTTATACATGTATGTATTGATGTAAAAAACATTTGAGCCGCAAAAAGACCCAGGACATACATTTGAGGATTAATCATAATATTAGTTAAGATGTTAGGGTTATTAGCCTTCATTTAAGGGTTATGTCAGGATATTACAGTTATTAGCCGTATTCCTAGTGAGTGGTCCATATTAGTTATGCTACTATCCTATCATTTGACTTAACTAAATGTATAAGTAGAAGGGTTAGGTTAGGATATCATAATACGTTACATCTACTGAAATGTAGCTTTGTATCAGAACTTATTCTTAGGAAAATGAATATGGAGCTAATTGACTAGGACTTTCATGTCAGATTGAGGTTCACATGTGTTTATTTTTTACATGTGTATTGAAGCTTAAATGAAATATTGGAAAAAATATAGAAAACTATTTGCATTTGTGAGGGGAGGGGACCTATAAAAGCCAACATTAAGGTTACTCAACCTTTTATGAGAAACTAAGTTGCATAGCACTTACATTATTCATAGCTCCCTTTCCTCCAGTTCAATATCCTGACCAAATTGACCTGCTTTATGTCTCTGATATTTGCAGGATTTACTTGCAACTGCTGTCATTTTAAAGTTTGAGCTTATATACGCTCCCATGACTGACGATGGGTGAGTCATAAAAGTAGTGTCTTCATTGGTCTACTGTGTGATACAGACACATGTTTGTTTCCTTTTTGATTCATATCTAGTGGGTGAAACTGACATGTTGATTGCTGATGAGAGTATATCATCTACAGTGCTGACTTGCAAGCTTCTATGGATGCTTCCTCTGCTGCTATCCATGAATTCCGAATTCCTCCTAAAGCTCTTATAGGATTGCATTCGTACTGTCCTGTTCATTTTGATGCTTTACATGCAGTGCTTATTGATGTAAGTGTACATGCCAGTCTACTAAAAGCTGCCTCTCATTCATCTGCATCAAAGTTACCCAGGTTTGGAAGATGTTCTTATTGTTAGTTTGAGTCTGCTAGACTTTAATTTTAGCATTATTTGTCCAGTCAGAAGTTGATTTTATAGAGCTAAGATTGCAAATTTGTTTTTATGCGTCCTTGGTTACATAGAGTAACCTGTTCATTTGATCCATTTCAGCAACTCTGCCAACACTGAAGTCATTGCTGATACGAGCTGCGAGACTTTGAATAAAGTATGTTCTAAAACATTGGATGTCTCTTTTTGATAATCACCATTGAAGTGATGATCAATTTGACTTCATGCAAAAATATTTATTGCAAACATTCCTTGCATTATTTCATGTCTGTTCTCTTTGCTTGCTTTATGTCTATCTAGGAAACATGGATACAGATATGAACACTTTAATGACATAGAACTAATACATGAACATGATGAAGTCTAAAACTTATAGGACATGGTATGGATAATGTACAACATATATAAAATAAATGCAATATCAACACAAATCCTAAATTATAATAAATGCATCAACATTTTGTAAGCTAGCTTAAAACATTATCATTATATAATCTCTGAGGTATTCCTTTTGTATTGATACAAAAGTTCAAAAACTAATTTAAAAATGTAGGCAAGAAGTATCCCAAAGAATTTGAGAAGTAACCAAATATATATTGGATACCAGCACAGCGACTACTTTGAAGTATGAATGGCCCCTAATAGTCTACACTTGGCTTCAAGCAGTTTGGCACGTTACTTGAAATTCGCGCTGGTGATTTTATAGTGTTATGATGACTTAAATGCACTCAATTCTACAGACAAAACAAGGGGACATGTCTTATGTGCATGTATTCACCTATGACATGGACCTTTCCTGTTCCTTTTTATCTTTTTTTGGTTGACGCACATGCACATATTTTAATTACTTGAATGGGACCTAATTTCGAAACAGGCCTCTGTGCATATGCAAGGATAAGGTAGTATAGTGTACAATGACCCTCTCCCATACCTTTGTATAGAGTAGTTTTTGTGAACTGCATTTTTTGTTTTGTACTTTCCTCTATCTCTTTTAGGTCATGCCTCAAAATGTATCATGCAATTACAACTTAACAATGATTTTCTTTAAACTATAATCCATTATGATTTGTATTTTGGTTTAAATCAGAATAAATTTCATATAAACTAACTTTATGACAAAAAAATCAACAGGATTTGAGAATGGAGTCTTAAAATGTAAATTTTAACTCTAATTTAACTTTACAAAACTTGTAACATGAAGTCTATACCTACTTTTATACTATAATTAGGTCATAGTATGGAATTTCCAACACCTACTCTCATGTCCAACATTATTGGGCTTCATACATGGTTAACGTGGTGAGTGCCCTTTTAATAGATTTAAGATAGGTTTTGTTACAATGAAAGAGTTGAGAGAATTTTGCAATTGAATTCTAACTTATTGAGTAAAAAATTGACTACTATGTTGTACTAACTAAAAAAAGTATTGGGCGTGAAAAGTAAAGGCCCAAACTACTAATTGAGAAAGAAAAGAAATATGATAGAACCCCAACAATTACATTTAGTAATTACTCCTAACTCCCTTTCCTCCAAACAATAAAAAAAAAAATAAAACCCTTCAACAACATAACAGAGACTATATATCGTAGTCTGTTAAACATGTTACAACAGCAGGAGGTTATAACTGCCTCCTTATTTATTTCTCTTATTATAAACCCTACCGCTGAACCTATCAAAATACAACATTAGCCCAAACAAAAATGTTTTTCAGTTTATATAATCTAATACAAAGACTAGGTCCCCACACCAAAAACAAATTCTGGAATGCTACAAAGAAAAGAACAAATAAAAATGGAAATTACATAATAGAGAGACTTCCACCTTAGGAATAGGGAATCGCACCCAATACTTCTTATCTCTGCAACTCTTCCTAATTCTGTCACTTTTGCTTTTAAACATTTTCTTTAACTGAATCTTTCTTGAATTTGAATTTTTTACGACACTCTAGCTCCTACCTAAGCATATTAACCTTTCATAATGATTTATATGATCAACTTTTTTTATACTTTTAATTTTAATAACTATTAGATATAGAATCAATGGTTGAAATCAGTGCTTAAGAGGCAAGCTAAAGAGGATATAAATCCCTCTTTCTCTCTAGCAAGTCATTAACCACTGTCTTTTCCTTGATTTATTTTCCCATTCCCTTTATTAAAACAAGGGCCCCTATCAAAATAACTTCTTATTAGTTTTTCATAGAAGGCATAAAGTACTTGATAGCAGGGACCATGATGTGTTTACTTCATTGAACCATCAATTGACATATAAAAATATAGTAAAATTCACTGCACCAGCTCTGGAAATGAGGTGAAAATTATTTACCTACATAGGTATGGTAACTTCAATGTTTTCATTTGTCCTTTAGTGATCAGGGCTGATGCAAATTTATATTCTCTTTTAAAATTATATCCTTTTGTGTTTTATTCTTGAGATGTTTTCTTCCAAACATTAACTGAATGTTTTGTGAGGCTGAACAGGTCTCTGGTGGAGTTGGTTCTCTAGATATGAAAAGTGCCATGCTTGTTAAAGCATTATTAGCTGCACGTGATATATTGTTTGAAGAACTACAAAAAATTAGCAAGGCAGTTAATGAAGCTTTAGATTTTACAGAGTTTCTGTCAGTAATGAGTAATATGAAGCATGAGAATCATTTAGCAACAAATGATGTTGTAGTACAAGACAAGCCACAAAATGATCTTAAGGTTCTTGCTTTTATATCACACGAGAGACTATAGAATAACACTTTTTTTTTATATATTTTTTTGCAACTCTTCTCTAATAGTTATTTTTTGTCCTAATGTCTAGGGAGGAAATGAAGATCTTGATTTTCTGGATGTTGAAAAACTTTGTTCCCTGTCTCAGAATGAACTATTTGACTGTTTTCATTCGTTGGGAAATCAATTGTCCTATTTATGGAAAATATTTTTAAAGTTCCACAGGTTTGTTTCTTATTCCGTATCATGATATTCATTACAATTCAACAAAGATGTGTGCTTTTTTACATTTTGAATTTGAATCTGATTGATGTATAATTTTTATTTTTTTTTGCAACTTTATTATGTTAACATTCAATTTTAATCAAGTTCGTACTTTGATTAATAAACATGTAGTTTTTGTTTGTTTTTCTTTTTTCTTATTGCCTTTCAACTAGCATGCGTCTATAATGTAGTTTAAGACTTGTTAAGTAGTCGCAACAATTTGAGCGGGTTGCTAAATGATATCGTGTTTTGAACCTTTGTTTCCTTCAATTCGGCATCTACTGTTTCTTTCAGAAGATAATCGACATAAATGCTTGGAAAGTTTATTCTACATTCAGGGTTACATTAGCTGAAATGCATATAGCATGATATTAATCCATTTTACTGCCTGAGAATTATGAGTATAGTCTTTGCATTGACTCACTCAAAAGTGTTTTATGATTCATGAAACTTTATCTTACGTAGTTTAATAAAGTGATATTTACATCTTCCTAGGGATAACAAAACAAAGATTATAGGGATTTTACATGATGTATGGGCTAGGAACCGGAAAGCTGAATGGTCAATATGGATGTTGTATTCTAAGGTAGAAATGCCTCAGCATTATATAAGCAATAAGGGTGATGAGACTTCCCAGCGTGTACAGAAACGAGTTTCCAGTTTGTGGAAGTTACCTGATGATGTAAGTGCTTGTATGATTCTTCATATTCTCGATATCATGAAAGTTGTTTTGAGAAAAGAAATATGAGAAAAATAAACAATTTTTTATGCAATAGACTTAAAAGCATATATTTTGTGTCATAAACCATACAGCCTATTCAGACTGCAGCTACACGCGCCGAACTTCATCGAAAGAGCATTGAACAAATGCAGGTAATCTAGCAACTTGAATATTTGACCTTGAAATATTGACTATTTATGAAATACCGATCACTATTTTGCAGATTAACAACCGCTCAATTCAAGACATGCAGATATTTGGGGATCCCTTGCGTACACCAATTGTGATTGTTGAACATGTGATGAGTGTACCCCGGCGTTTTCCAAGTGAAAATTCATTACTCAAACATATTGGCCATATAGATTCAGATGGCTTCCCAATTAGCCTTAACCTGGATACTATAGGCAAGAAATTTGCACCACAAAGTAATGCTCGTGTGTTGAAGATTGTTGTCTTTGTGCATGGGTTTCAGGCATGTCTTGTGGATTTTATTCCAAAACTATACCTTGTTTTTTTTTTTTTTTTATATATATATATATATAGTAGGATTTGAGCTTCTTAGGAGTCGTATACTATTGAGCTCTTTGTAGCATTGTGAAAATGGACTATCCTGGCCTCAGTCATCATACCAGGCTAACTAGTTGGAGTTAACTAGTTAATACTAAAATATTAAAAAAAAATCCTAGAGTCAATTTAGACCCTGGGTTAAACAAAGTGAAAATCCTAACACATTAAGAACATGAAGTTAAATAGGACTTTCTCCTAATCTGATTTGTGTTTTCTATTGAGTATTGTTTAGGGGAGCTAACACCTGGAGATTCTCACGAATAGAACCGTCAACCATATAAGAAAATATGATATCACCTTCAACTGAAAACCTAAATATAGAAGATTTGTGGGTCTTTTTCACTTATATATTATTCAACTTCACTATTTCTACTCAATATGAGACTTTATCATACACTTGAATTCCAATACTCCCTCTTCAAGTATGATTCCTTACTGATTGAAACACTCTCCCCCTCCAACTCACCTATCTTGATATGAATCACAAGGGGTGATTTAGGATCTTTAGGGTTAGAACCTTGTAAGAAATTTAAGAATTAGAAAGAAGGTGGAAGGAAAGAATCACTCTTCCCAAGGGAGGAAACACACAAAGGATGTGAAAGTCCTTTGATACACAGCCAAGGGTTCTTGAATCACTCAAGAATTTAGGAGAATCACTCTCACTAAGATAAAAGAGATAAACTCTAATATTTCTGAATAAAATTTCACTTGTTATTTCTTGATAAAAATGGTTCAGATGATATAGAAGCGTTGCCATCAGAATTACAAAGACTCAATAAAAAAAAAAAAATACTAATAATAACCCATTAATCTAAGAATTGAAAACTATTTAATGGAAACAAATAAAGACTAATAACGATCCATTAACCTAGGAATTGAAACTACTTAATGACTGATTGTATCTGAAACTGTGGCAATCAAAAGTCAATCAGCTATACACCCCTTGGTCTCCCAAAGGCTGATGACTAAATTTTCAATTGGGCCCTTATTACAACTTAAAACAAAATCAAACTAAAGCCTATTAATTGATTAATTCAAAACATAATTTGGTCAACCAACAATACTTGTTGATAAACTTCATTTGTTTCCCTTGCTCTAACCCTTGTCATAGGTCATATCCACATCATTCTCTCCATCTACATAAAAAAGAGATAAGTTTGATAAATTGAATGTAAAATTAACATTATACTCACTTTTTATGGCTAAATAATTCTCCCTTACTTCAAGTGTTTCATTCTTCTTTTGATCACTCTTTTTCCTCTCAAGTGTTTCGCTAACGCTTTCTTTCTCTCTCTTTTCTTGAAGAAATTTTTCTCTCATTTTCTTTTTATCCTCACACACTTCTTGTGGACTCAAAGGTTTGAGCACAATCTTCTTGTCTTGGTGCATGAAAGAGATATTGTTGGTGAACCCGTTATGATTAATTCTTTTATCAAATTGTCATGGTCTCCCCAAAAGTAAGTGGCTGACTTCCATAGGAACAATATCACAAAACACCTTATCATTGTATTTTCCAATGGAAATGTCCACTTCAACTTGTTGTCTCACTTGCACCTCTCCATCCTTACGAAGCCATTGAAGTTTATATGACCTAGGATGTGGTTTGATAACTAAATTTAGCTTTGATACTAATCTAGCACTAGCCACATTGGTGTAACTACCTCCATCTATGATCATCATGCACACCTTGTCATTGATTAAACATCTAGTGTGAAAAATATTTTTTCTTTGGCTTTCTTCCATAGGTTTCAATTGGCTATTAAGTAATCGCCTAATCATTAATAAATCTCTCTTTGGAATCTTCTCCTCCTCAATGTCTTCACTCTTTTCTCCCTCTTCAACCTCAGATTCACTTATATATTCTCCCTCTCTAAGAACCATGATTTTGTGTTAGGGCACTCATAAGCATAGTGTCCTAGGCCTTGACACTTGAAACACTTCACATCTCTACTTTTTTTAGAGGGTTGTTCTTCATACTTTGAATGAGTCTTTGTAGGAATAGGTGTGGAACTACTAGAAGTAATAATCCCATCTTTCTTGCTTTTGTCCTTCCAACTTGAAAATCCAAAGTTGGTGGAACTCTTCTTAGTCACTTCTTTTCTTTTGAGTTCTTGTTCCACTCAAATTGCTTTATGAAGTAAATCCTCCATATCAACAAACTTCTGCAACTCAACAATATCACATATATCAATATTCAAACCACCAATAAATCGGGCCATAGTTACCTCTTCATCTTCTTCAATCTTTGCTTGAATCATGAGCATGTCCATTTCCTTAAAATACTCCTCAACCCCCTTGTTGCCTTGAGTAAGTTTTTGGAGTTTAAATTTCAAGTCCCTTGAATAACTAGCCAGCACATACCTCTTTCTCATTATCCTTTCAATCTCAGTCCATGTATCAACCATTGATTCTTCATTTCTACCTCTCCTTTTGTAGCTTGTTCCACCAAACAAGAGCATAGTCAGAAAATTCTGTAGTTGCAAGCCTCACCTTTAGGCTCTCCTCATAATTGTTGCATGAGAAAACATGCTCTATTTTCATCTCTCACTCCAAGTATGCCTCCGGATCACTTTTTCCTTTGAACGGAGGAATGCTAAGCTTGACTCCTTCAAGCCTACTTGGTCTTGCTACTCCATCATTCTTTCTCATATCTCCTTTCTTCTTCATCTTCAGGATCTCTATTCTCCAACCGGTTCAATCTTTCATGGAGTTCATTCTTATGTCGCATCATTAATCCTTCCAAATGTTGTATCAATGCTCTCATTTGAAATGGACTAATTCCTGTTTCTTGATTGTAATTTTTTTTCTTCTGCCATCAATTTGATGTTCAAACCCTTAAACCGGGATTCTGATACCAACTGATATAAATCACAAGGGGTGATTTAGGATCTTTAGGGTTAGAACCTTGTAAGAAATTTAGGAATTAGAAAGAAGGTGGAAGGGAAGAATCACTCTTCCCAAGGGAGGCAACACATAAAGGATGTGAAAGTCCTTTAATACAGCCAAGGGTTCTTGAATCACTCAAGAATTTAGGAAAATCACTCTCACTAAAATAAAAGAGATAAACTCTAATATTTCTGAATAAAATTTCATTTGTTATTTCTTGATAAAAATGGTTCAGCTGATATAGAAGCGTTGCCATCAGAATTACAAAGACTCAATAAAAGAAAATAAATACTAATAATAACCCATTAATCTAAGAATTGAAAATTATTTAATAGAAACAAATAAAGGCTAATAATGATCCATTAACCAAGGAATTGAAACTACTTAATGACTGATTGTATTTGAAACTGTGGCAACCAAAAGTCAATCAGCTATACACCCCTTGGTCTCCTAAAGGCTGATGACTAAATTTTCAATTGGGCTCATATTACAACTTAAAACAAAATCAAACTAAAGCCCATTAATTGATTAATTCAAAACATAATTTGGTCAACCAACAATACTTGTTGATGAACTTCATTTGCTTCTGTTGAATATAAAGGAAATAGGGTTTGAAATTAATCTCCCTTGTGTTAAAATCACACATAGGGTAATCTATTTATAATAGAGAGGTACAACTAAAAGAGTAACCGAAAGTAAACAGAAGATATTGTTTGATATTGTGGTTAACAATATCTAACAATATCTTAACAATACCAAACTATATCTAAACAATATCTAACACTCCCCCTCAAGCTGGAGCATACAAATCATATGTGTCAAGATTGTTACAAATATAATCAATTCTAGGCCCCCGTAAAGATTTAGTGAAAATATCTGTTAACTGATCATTTGAGTTAACAAACTCAGTCTTGATATCTCCAGACATAATCTTTTCTCGAATGAAATGACAATCAATCTCAATTTGGTCCTCTCATGAAAGACAGGATTAGAACTAATATGAAGAGCAGTCTGATTGTCACACACAAGTGTCATTTGAGTGACATCTTCAAATTGTAACTCTCTAAGCAATTGCTTGAGCCAAACAAGTTCACAGGCAGCTGAGGCCATAGCTCTATATTCTGCTTCTGCACTGGATCTTGCCACAACACTTTGTTTCTTACTTTTCCATGAGATCAAGTTACCACCAATGGAGATACAATATCCAGATGTAGATCTTCTATCCGAAGGAGATCCTGCCCAATCAGCATCTGAGTAGCAATCAACTCTTGTATGGTTATTAGAACCATATACCAATCCTTTTCCAGGAGATCCTTTAATATACTTCAAGATACGAATGACTACATTCCAATGATCTTCACATGGTGAATTAAGAAATTGACTTACCACACTGACTGCAAAGGAAATGTCAGGGCGAGTAACTATAAGATAATTCAATTTTCCAACCAATCTTCTATACCGCTCAGGATCGATATAGGCTCCCTCCGATTTGGTAGAAGTTTAGTATTGGGATCCATGGGTGTATCAACATACTTTGAACTCATCAACCCAGTTTCCTCCAAAATATCTATGGCATACTTCCTCTGAGATATAACAATACCATCATTGGACTGTGTCACCTCAATACTCAAGAAATATCTAAGTTTGCCAAGATCTTTGGTCTGAAAATGGTGACAGAGATGTTGTTTCAACTGAGAGATGTCATGGTTGTCACTACCTGTAAGAACGATGTCATCAACATATACTATCAAGTAAACACATCCAACACTCAAGTGTCGATAAAAGACAGAATGATCTGCTTCACACCGAGTCATACGAAATTGTTAAACAACCTTGCTAAACTTTCCAAACCAAACCCTAGGAGACTGTTTTAGGCCATATAGGGATTTGCGAAGACGACATACTATCCCAGAAGACTCCCCCTGAGCAACAAACCCAGGCGGTTGCTCCATATATATTTCTTCTTGCAAATCACCATTGAGGAAAACATTTTTAACATCCAGTTGATAAAGAGACCATTGTTGAAGAGCGGTCATGGCGATAAATAAACGAACCAAAGTCATCTTTGCCACAGGGGAAAATGTATCTCCATAATCCAACCCCAAAAATTTGAGTATAACCTTTGGCCACAAGATGAGCTTTGAGGCGATCAATAGTACCATCAGGTCCAACTTTGATAGCAAACACCCACCTGCAACCAACAACAGATTTTCCAGACGGTAACGGGACCAATTCCCAAGTTCCACTATTATGAAGAACACTTAGTTCATCTAACATGACTTGATGCCAACCAAGATGGACTAAAGCTTCACGAACAGTTTTTGGAATGGTCACAAAAGAAATAAAGGAAAGACATGTATAAAAAAGTAATGACAGTCGATAATAACTCAAAGCAATATAATGGGGAGAGAGATTACGTGTAGAACGAATACCTTTTCAGAAGGCAATGGGAAGGTCAAACTCATGTGTCAGATCCGGAGGAAATAGAGTAGTTGGCACTTGAGTGGAGTCACATGGTGGTGGTTGTGATTGGTTTCGACAACTATAAATTTGAAGAGGCAGTGGAGAAGAAGCTGACTGCAGAGCAGGAACTAATGGTGAAGAAGACACAGTTAGAAAGTCACAAACAACAGGAACATTAAATGTACTAGGAGTGTTGACAAGATTGGATGGAGACAGAGGTGAAGATTGACTTTTAAAATAAAGAGACAACTTATCAAAGGTGACATCTACAGACACAGAATAACGGTTAAGAGAAGGAGAAAAACATTTGTATCATTTTTGTGATCTTGTAAACCCTAAGAAAACACATTTATATGATCTAGGAGAAAGTTTGTCAAGACCAGAACTGAAATTATGAACAAAACATGTAGACCTGAAAACTCTCAGAGGTAAAGAATGAAGTGGTTCATGAGGGAATAAAATGGAATGAGGTATTTTATTATCTAAAACCGAAGAATGCATGCGATTAATGAGATAACATGCAGTAAGAAAAGCATCACCCCAAAAATGTTGAGGAACATATCCATGAATTAAAGGTGTGCGAGTTGTTTCAATAAGATGTCTATTTTTACGTTCAGCTACACCATTTTGTTGAGGTGTATAAGCACAAGAAGTTTGATGTAAAATACCGTGAGAAGCCATGAATTGTTTAAAAGAATGAGAAAGATATTCATGGTAATTATCACTACACAAAACTCTAATAGAAACATCGAACTGAGTTTGAATTTCATTAAAAAAAGTTTGAAAGATATGAAATAATTCAGAACAATTTTTCATCAAAAATAACCAAGTGCATCTGGAATAATCATCAATGAAAGTAACAAAGTATTGAAAACTTAAAGTAGACTTAATGCGGCTAGGTCCCCAAATGTCAGAGTGAACCACGACAAAAGGGGACGAAGCACCACGTGTGAAACTACGAGTAAAGGAAGTACGACTATGCTTGTCTTGTGACATGACTCACACGCCAAACTAGATAAGTTGGACAAGACAGGGACAAGCTTCTGTAATTTGGCAAGATTTGGATGACCAAACTGAATATGAAGAAGAGAGGGAGACTCCATAACTGTACTAATATGTGTAGAGGGACGGAGATAACAAAGACCATGAGACTCACATCTTGTGCCAATCATCTGTTTCAAACTCTGGTCCTGTAAACACATAAAATTGTTGGTAAAAGTAACAACACAATCAAGAGAACGAGTTAGACGATTGATGGACAACAGGCTAAAAGGAGACTCAGGGACATAAAGAACATTATCAATGGTTAAAGAAGGAAAAAGTTTAACTGTTCCAACACCATGAGATGATACTCTAGAGCCATCAACCAGTGTAACAGAAGGTAAATGATTAGGAGAGGATAAAGAGGAGAACAAAGATTTGTTACCGTAAATATGATCGGTGACTCTCGAATCAAAAACCCAAGGACTAGGAGAAAATGATTGGGTCGGACCAAGAAAATATGTATTTGTATGTGTGACAGATATAGTGGAACTAGAAGACTGTTGATCCTTATACCATTCGAGAAATTTGTTGAACATAACAGGTATGTCGGATGCAACAGAAGAAGGAGGATCCTCAGCAGATAAAGGTGGGGAAAGATTGGTCTGAACAACTGCAGCAGATCGAGGAGGACGACCATGTAATATATAACACTTGTTAATCTTGTGACCTAACTTGCCACAATGTTCACATTTAGAACATCATTTTCCCTGTTTGCGAGGGCGAGTCCAGTCATCACGATGGGATGTTAACACAAAAAAATCATTAATAAAATTAGAAATAGTAAAAGAAGTGGAAGAAATCATGAAGATCGGGAGAACAAAACCTAAAACAATCCAAAGTAATCCAATTAACCCACGAAACACAAATCCAAAATGAGAATACTAAAAATAAGTTCACTAAGACTAAACGGCGCAAGAGACAACGGGATGACCAACTCCGATAGTGGTGATCTCAACGGCACGGTGGTCACCTGACCGAGACAAACAAAATCATATGTCACCGGTCAAAAAATGAAACTTCGGCGAATTCTCCGGTAGCGATGAATCTGGTGACTACTCCAGTGGTAGCAGTGACAACAACGTGAACCAGTACACCAGGTAAGTTCCCAGGAAAGAGAGGTGAGTCACTAATGGACACACTTAAATACCAAGTCTTTCCTTGCCAGAACTTTCCTAGACATGCACTTTCACACTACCAAATAAAATTCAGTAACAAAGATAATTCTTTTCTGATGTGGAGGATCAGTTTACCATCAGCGGTGGGGCGGCTCTAGCAGCGGTGGACAAAAGGAGAAAAATAATTTTCAAGATAACCTTAAGCTCTAGATACCATGTTGAATATAGAGGAAATAAGGTTTGAAATTAATCTCCCTTGTGTATAATTCACACATAGGGTAATCTATTTATAATAGAGAGGTACAACTAAAAGAGTAACCGAAAGTAAACAGAATAAACAGAAGATATTGTGGTTAACAATATCTAACAATATCAAACTATATCTAAACAATATCTAACAACTTCCCTTGCTCTAACCCTTGTCATAGGTCATATCCACATCATATCTATATTGTACTCAACTAAGTTGGTTACTAGAGGAATCATCAATTCTAATACCACTATTAGGCTTTTGTGAGGGAGGCAACATTAAGCCGGTGTTTACCAATGGGATTCAAAGTAACCATTTAAGAGAATATGACTCTACGTTCAATAAAAAATCTTAAGATAGTAGATTTGTGGGTCTTTTTTTTACTTATATGTTACTTAATTTCATCAATTATACTGAATGTGGGAGTTCTGTACACACTCAAATAATTAACCATCATGAATATAGATGTAGTAAGTAGTACTACTCAATTCTCAAAAAAATGATAATTGCCTTCCATAAGAACTATTTGTCAAGTTTTGTATAATAAAAAATGGTTGCATGTGTACCATTAATGTGTCCGAAAATAGTAAGATATATTTGATTATGTTTGATTTTTTTATTTTATTTTAATAAATTATAATTTGTTGTTAGTCTATCTAGACACACTAAAAAAACTAATCTAATTAGTTCTATAAATAAAATATCATATTCATTTTATTAATAATTTATAATAGTTTATTCTTATCATCCAACTTCTAGTTCCTTTTTCCTAAAACCTTTTTTTTTTAACTAGATATTAGACCATTACTATTAGTTTATTTCCACATTCTTCGATCTTAGAGTTCAAAGATGTTGGTTATATATTCTCATTTAGCTTCCTACTTCCATGTGTTAGATTAAATTTAGAAAAAAGAGGTTCTGCACTCTGTTCTTTGATCTTTTTCAGGCAGGGCAGGGGTTTAGCTCTGGTGCATTTTGGCATGAATTAGTTATGTTCGGATGTGGTTTGGTGCTTTTTTGTGTGTTATTGATTCTGAGAAGTAAAAGAAAAATTTACAGAGTTAGCATCAAGAAATGATAATTTAATCTGTCTTATGACTTTTGGTTTCTTGTTCTGTGGCTAACTTGTCTTGTCATCTCTGAGAATGTTTGATAATTCTTCTGGTATGGTATGATGTTTCACGGGGGAGATTCTATGTTTTTCTTGTGTCTTATTGTGGGTGTGCTGCACCAATGGTAATGTAGTGGTTAATTTGTATTTTGATGCTGGCTCTAGAATTTGGTGGATCACAATAACGTTTTTACCATTGGTTGACTCTGGCTTGGCTGATTTTTCTTTCTTCTCTTATTGGATGATGTTTCTGCCTTTCTTCTCTACTTCAATTTGATCCACTGCTTTATGTTCTATTATTACCATTTCTTCCTCTAGATGTGTTTACTAGTGGGAGTAAATGTCTTTGTACATCGTATTATGCTTGGGATGGGAGGAATGGGTATAATAGTCTAAAAGAGCGAGTAAGGAGCTGCCAACAAAGTGGAGCTGCCTCCAGAGTACTAGATATATTTTAGAAGAAAGTGTTGTCCCATTAGATACTAAATCAAACTGCTCCTAGGTATTTCATAGTTAGCCTATCATAGGAGAAAAGGGCTATTAGTGAGGTAAAGTCGCTTTAGATTCATGTTTTTAGCCTATAATGTGTGACTATGGATTGTGCAAATCTGAACGAGAGCTATCCAACTTTTTTGTGCTTCTGGCTAGCAACAATAGGGGTTTCAGATTTGGAAGTAAGAGTTTCCGAGTTTCTTTTCTTCCTGGACATACGTGATCCAATGTTGCTTCTCTGTCCTTTTTCTTATATTTTGCGTAGATGGTTCAGAATTTGTCATTGAGTTTACTTTCTCTGCTCTTTGTTTTGGAAATATTATGTTAATATGGTTTGTAGTTTCTTCTCTTCTTTTCTATTTGGTTGTTTGGATGTCATAGTTTCAGATGAAGGTTGCTTAGTTAGTTCTATACTGAATTGAAGGCTTTGTAATCCACTCTGATAAGGCCCTTTATTGATCTATTTTCTTATTCTAACAGGTTTTATTTTAAGAAATATGTTTGGATTATCTTAGAATGTCTTGATTAATCTGTTTTCTTATTCTAACAGGTTTTATTTTGTTGTTAGTGTGCCTGGTTGGCTTGTCTATTAGTGCTTGATCTATTTAGTATAGTTATTTTGATGTAGATACGAATATTAATTGATAAAGTAAGTTCTGGTCAACGTGATCAAGTTTATCAGATACCTTGTACATGACATTAACTTTCCAGACCTTAGTAGAATTATTTAAGAGGATGGATGATCCTAATCTTCTGAGTGAATTAAAGTAAGCCGTTTCAATAATAACGTGTTAGATAAACATGGGCTATGTGACCCTTACATTATCTCAAACATTTACATAAAATAGAAGGAATGGTAGTTTTTGTGGCCCAGTTGAGCTGACAAAAATCGAGGCCAGATAGAACAATATCATGCTGTTTACAAATGCTTGATTTTTTTTACTCTCCTTTGTTAAAAAATTGTAAAATTGAAAGGATTCAGTATATCATAAACATAACATATATATCACTTTCATTTGAGAGCTGCATTCATATCGCAGAGCTATCTTGGTTGAATAAATCCTTTTTTTTTTTTCAGTATCTGGTTTAAAGTTGATTTAGTGCTTATTGTTTGTCATTTAAAATGTTTCAGGGGCATCATCTAGATTTACGACTTGTCCGGAATCAATGGCTTTTGATAGATCCCAACATAGAATTTCTAATGTCAGAGGCTAATGAAGATAAGACATTTGGAGACTTCAGAGAGATGGGACATAGGCTAGCTAAGGAAGTTATTTATTTTCTTAAAACCAAAATGGACAAAGCATCAAGATTTGGGAGTTTGGGAGATATTAGGCTAAGTTTTGTTGGACATTCTATTGGTAACCTCATTATAAGAGCAGCGTTAGCAGGTAGGTCATAATCTTAGAAGCAATGCTGTTCATCAGTTTGATATTTGGTGCTAAGTTTTGTCCTGTGTTTGCAGATAGCATCATGGAGCCATTTCTAAGTCACCTATATACATATGTTTCAGTATCTGGTCCACACTTGGGGTATCTTTATAGTTCAAACTCGTTATTTAATTCTGGATTATGGTTTTTGAAGAAGCTAAAAGGCACACAGTGCATTCATCAACTCACTTTCACGGATGATCCAGATATCCAAAATACATTTATCTATAAACTGTGTAAGGTAGGGGCTGTGTCCTACAATGATTGGGATAAAGACATGAACTCTAAGTCGTGTTTGCTTGAATAATTTACTGTGGGGTGTATTTTTACCAATCGTACGTCATATTATAGTCACTTCTTATTTGGTTAGAATCAAATTTGTGCAGATGTTTCGATGGTAGTTACTTTGGGTCTGTTATTTTTGTATGAACAGTTAAACTAAAAGTTAATGCAAAGAAAAAATGCAAGGATGTTAGTGAAGATTAAATGGATAATAAAAATGTACCGAAGCGGCTAATAAGTTTTCGAAAAAGTAACGGGAAGTTTATTCTTAAAAATAAAAACTGCATGAATCATTTATATTTTATGTAATTATTTTTTTTGATGAGGTTCTAATAGAGCTCTTTCCTCCCGTTCCCCCCCCCCCCTACTTTTTTCAGCAGAAAACCTTGGAACATTTTAGGAATATTATTCTGCTATCTTCCCCCCAGGTATTATACCTTTTCTTCTTGTCTGTCTCTTGCATTCCATTTTAGGAATTTTATATACTTTTACACTAATCAGCAATTGGGTTGTTATACATTAGCATTATCATAGGTTTAATAGAAGTCTGTAAAGTTGCATGTGAAAGTGCTCCTGTTACATAGTGAAATAACAGGCTTCTCAATATTTTTCTTTACCATTACGTGATGCTTGCTACAAATGAACCTGATTCTCTTAATAATTACCAGTATTTTTAAGCGTGGGGCTAGAGTGTATGGTAATGCATTATTCTGAAGGAAGTGGAATTTCCTTCCCATTTAACTTTTGTTGCCTCAAATTCTCTTGTGATACATTTACTTATACCAAATTTCTTCGTTTGAAGTTGACTGATACGGCATTTTCAGGATGGTTACGTGCCTTACCATTCTGCTAGAATTGAATCATGCCAGGCTGCATCACGTGACACTTCAAAGAAGGGTACACTGTTCCTAGAAATGTTGAATGCTTGCTTGGACCAAATCCGTTCCAACTCCACACAACGCCGAGTCTTCATGCGCTGTGATGTCAACTTTGATCCATCTACACAAGGCAAGAATCTGGACTCTATAATCGGTAGAGCTGCACATATTGAGTTTCTGGATTCTGACATTTTCGCAAGGTTTATAATGTGGTCATTCCCAGATCTTTTTCGATAGCAGTTTCCTCTGATTTGCCTTCTCTGCACTCAGTTCTCTAAAGCCTTCAGCCATAACCTCTCACCCTTTGTGAGATTCTGTGACAGGCTCCTCAAAGAATGGATTAACAGGTGCATGTAGACTTGAGTTGTATATTTGCCCTCAAAACGATTGTTTGAAAAATAGCTGTATGCATAGCTTTGGGAAGGGTCAAGGACGATGTAATTATTTGGTTAGGTAGATCATTAATCACCATATGTTTAATTGAACATCTAGGGAGAAATTAGAAACAAGCTTCAAAAAATTAAAATGTTTTATTTTATATAACAAATAAATATTCTGGAATATACAAATTATATTTTAAATTTGCAATCAGAAATTAAAATTTTGATAATTTATTTTTAATTATTGATATTTTTTTATAAAAAAATATTCAAATTAAATTTGGAGATATAATTAAAAGATGGTAGATTATAATGGATGAATGTTTAAGAAGGTTAAATATTTAAGTAAAGATTACAAAAAAAAAAAACAGTAGCAGTAGCAGTAGATGATTGAGAAAAAAAAATGCCAGTTGCGTGGATGATGTTAAAATGTACTTTTAAAAAAGAGTAGTGAGAGTGAGATTTCGTTCTTTTTAAGAACTTTTTATTCCAACTTATAACTGAATAAAAATTGTGACGTCAGATAGAAAAGTTATAAAACTTTTATAAATTTAAGTATGAAACTGAAAGGAAAAAATGATGTTAGAAGCATGAACTAAAGGTTTTCCAAATTTATGAAAATAACTTATTTTTTCATAGAAAACAGAAGCTTTTAGAAAATTATAGTTTAACTTTTTACTCGGCACTATTTCAATCACCACTAAAATACTACTGCATAAAATTTTACTGATTTTCATTTTTATTTCTCTACTATGATTCATGTATAATCTTTATCTTCAATATTTATGTTGCTTACATATAGTCAATTAATATGCTGTTACATTTTCTTTACATGCAAAATCTTAAAAAAAAAAAAAAAATCTATGCAGATAACAATTAGATGTATAGAAATTATTTAAATTGTTCAGTTATTAAACAATATGATTATATCAAACGAAGTAAAACTAGGAGCAAGCCTGCCTTTTGTAAAAGTTGTAATTGATGTAGCCTTCCTCCTCTCCCCCGAACACTATCCATCCACATACAACGTCATCATTATTGTGATTGTTTAATTGAATTTTAAAATGGAATCTCTTTTCTTGGAATACAACATTATAGTATTATATCTTTATTCCAATAAGGAAAATTTGTAAGTTATATATTAAGCAACATTTAAATTTTTAAAATTTTAAAATACATATTCATCTCCTTATGTTTTTAATAGAAAAACACTCATTTGTATGATTTATAATTTTTAAATAGACATTTGGATTCATCCTATTTCTAATAAATAACACTTGTCTCTTTTATTTGTTTATAAAAAAATAAAATTTATTTATAAATTTTAAATTTTTAAATTTATCCAATACGATATTTTTAAATAAAATAGTAAAAGTAAGTATTATTTTATTAGAAATATAAAAGAGATAAATATCATTTATTAAAAATAATAATAATAAGTGAATATCTATTTAAAAATTGGAAGAAACATGAATGCAATTCTATTAGAAAAATAATGAGACGAGATGAATGTTTATTTTAAAATCAAAGAAAAAGGTGAGTATCATAATATGATATACGAAGAAGTAAGCATAATTTCTCCTTTAAATAATATAATTATAATTTTTTGTAATGCATGATCAATTAAGATGAGATTTTAGCATATTAATTTAAAATTACAATTTAATAATATTAATTATTATTTCTAAATTTTTTTGAAGAGATGTTATGTTGTAATTTTAGCACTATTTTTGAGTCCTTCCTTGGCAATTTAAATATTTTATTCAATTATTCGTTTTGGTAATATGTATTATTTTGAGATTTTTAACCTTTTTTTTTTAGGTCTAACAACTGACCTGGTAATTTAATACGTAGTTGAAGTCTATTATTTAAAATAATTAATTAATAATTAATTAATTATTATTAAATTATTAAAAATTAAAATACCAAAGAAAATATAAAACTATTCATAATTAGGTAGAGATAAATTAACCATAACATTAATAAAAATATATAAATATTTGAATGCTAGTATTAATTTTTTTACTATACATATTTCACTTGATTCAATATCCTCTGTTGTAAATTGTTATAAAACTTTTCTAACTTTCAATTACTCTAAACCAAAAATATGTCTAGATTAATTGTGGTCAAGATTCATTAAGACATTAAATTAAGAATTAATGAACTGTTTTAAAGTAACTTTTTTACTTTTTTTAGAATTTACACTTTTTATATTCAGTTGATTTATTGTTTTTCTAATTCCACCAACCCAAATAATTTCAAAAATCCACTTAGTCCATCCTAGTTTTATTTCCTTCTTTTCCCCTATATTAATTATTATTCAAACAAAATGCTAATTTTATCTTTCACCCTAATTTAGTTTTATGAATATATTTTCAATTATTACTATTGTGTTACAGTAAAAGTACTTGCAAATATTTATTTCTTTATTTTCACTACAAAAATATGAGTTTTGATTTTAAAATTATTGACAAGCATATTAAATTTACAAAATTCAATAATTCATGGCAAGGGGACGAACAAAATAAAATAATCAGTATTTTCTATTTGACCTGTAGAAAAATTCTGTACAATTTTCATAGTTGAGTAAAATTAGTTAAAGTAATGATCATGTCACATGCAAACAGTAATCATATTATTAGTTATATCAATTATGATTTTATGTTCGTATCACGTTTATTTATCGTTTTAATATTCAATCAAATGCAATAGAATATGACTTTTTCATGTTTAAAATTTATACGTCTACTAAAATTCAAGAAATCTTTACAATACACGAGTTTATATTTTATTTATTTAAAAATTAAAAGATAAAAATAATGGTATATAAGTTATATACGAATTTTGAAATTATGAAAACATTAACACACAATTTTGATTATGAACAAAGTCGCTTAACCCAATTTAGTTTTTGTGGGGAAAAAAGTTACCAAATAATATTTCATATGAACATGTGGCAATTTTACATATTCAATCCATGCTAAAGGGAAAAAACCATACCAATTTATTCCTGGTACAATCATGAATGATTCATATTAATACCTATAAATATTAATTTATTTATTTTACATTAGTTTTTAAAATATGAAAAGTGATAACAATATACTTAACACTTTTTTTTTATTATTATTATTATATTATAACTTATCAAACTATATAATTTAATTACGAATAATATTGTTAATAAGAAATATGATTCACAATTTTTATAAATTTTAGTTATAAGGTGTGTGTATCCCATAAATTTTTCCTCATAAAATATTTCACTTTCATAATTTTGAAAAATTATTTTAAAACATTTTAAAAAGCAATTTTGTTTTTTTCAAGAACCAAAAACTTGAGTACGCACCAGATAAGAACGATTTTATGGTTTTCAATTTATGGGATGTTACTGTTTCATATTTATCCAAATTTGTTATCATCCAATTCCAATCCGAAACTCGATTATAAATAATCACAATGCGGCCATTCCCTCTTTCTGTATCTATTTACGAATTCATCACTGTATTGAGCATTGTGAATCGCTCCAATGGCCGAAACATCTCTTCCTCACGACTCCTACTTTCTCGGATTCGACAGTTCCACTCAGTAAGTCCCATTGCATTATTATTTTCAATTTCATGAGCAAGAAAATAATTTTTTTAATTTGATGTGAGAGGAATTTAATTTTCAATTATTATTGTTTTGAAGGTCGTTAAAGGCCACAGTGCTGGACTCCAACCTCAACATCGTAGCCTCAGAGCTTGTTCATTTTGATTCCGACTTGCCCCATTACAAAACCAAAGATGGGGTTTACAGAGACCCCTCTGGCAGTGGCAGAATTGTTTCACCCACCTTGATGTGGGTGGAAGCTCTTGACCTAATGCTTCAAAAGCTTTCAAAATCAAATTTTGATTTTGCCAAGGTTGCTTCTGTTTCTGGCAGTGGCCAACAGCATGGTAGTGTGTATTGGAAGAGTGGTAGTTCTCAGATACTGTCATCATTGGATCCTAAGAGGGCATTATTGGATCAGCTTGAAAATGCTTTTTCTATTAAGGAATCCCCAATTTGGATGGATTGTAGCACCACTGCTGAGTGTAGGGCTATAGAGAAGGCTTTTGGGGGGCCCTTGGAGTTGGCTCGTGTTACAGGATCACGTGCATATGAGAGGTTTACTGGCTCCCAGATCAAGAAAATATATGATACTCAGCCCGAAGTTTATGACAGCACTGAAAGAATCTCGCTTGTTAGCTCATTTATGGCGTCTCTTTTTGTAGGCGCTTATGCTGCCATTGATCATTGTGATGGTGGAGGCATGAATTTGATGGACATAAAGGAGAAAACATGGTCTCAAGTAGCACTTGAGGTTTTTATTGTCATTATTAACTTTAACCTTAACTATTGTTTGTTGAATTGGGTTTTGATGTGGCTCCAAGTATGGGGGTTTAGTGACTGATTGATATTTTGAAGTTCTTGTTTAGCCAATGTGTGTGGATTCTAATGGTGGTTGCAGGCAACTGCCCCTGGTTTGGAGTCAAAACTTGGAGTGTTAGCCCCTGCTTATGCTGTTGCTGGAAATATTGCTTCATATTTTGTGGAGAGGTTTGTTGGATGTTTTTTCTTAACATATTTCTCATTTGAAAAACAAGAAAAATTAATTCTATATTCGCTGCACACATGATTCCGATCAAATGCTTGCTACTCTAATTACCTCCTACATGGTTTGGCTTAGATATATTTTTCTATAAAATATATTTCTGTATGATCTGCATTTTATATGATGCTATTTGAATGCTTCTATATGCAATAAAATAAGTATCAGCAAATGTTATCTTGTAAGGATATAAAATTTCTCCTCAACACTTTGCTGACCAAAATGGTATGTGTTGTCTTATGAGTTATGAAATATTGAATGTCTAGGGAAATTTTTGTTTAAATTCCAATGTAAAATTGTTATGGACTTGTTTTTTTTTTTTTTTATCTACTTACTTGTTGCACGAGTTATGTCAAAATACGTAGAACTGATGAGTGGTTTTTATTTATTTTGTATTAGGTATCACTTTAACAAGGATTGCTTGGTTGTTCAATGGTCAGGAGACAATCCCAATAGTTTGGCAGGTGCCATAATTTCTTTTTTAACATACTCTATCAGGATTTTATACGGTACTTTTGTCAAAGTTTAAATTATGAACCCCCCTCCTCCCTTGGGAAAACATGAAGACAAAAACTTCATCACTGTAGTGTTAGTTGCTAAGTGCCATCTTTATCCAAAAAGTTTTATACTGTATATTTTCCCTGCTCATCTGAAAAATTAACCATATTTTACCTGCAGGTTTGACCCTAAATATTCCAGGGGATCTCGCCATCAGCCTCGGCACTAGTGATACTGTAAGATACATAGTGTTAAGTTTGTTGGTAGGGTTACCTTGGAAATGATTGTAGCTTCATATGTTGCCAATTGAAGAATGGTAACTGTTTTATGAATAAGGAGAAAACACTTACCTTTCCTAAGACTATACTCAATGACACTCACATCCCCTCTAGTTTTAAAATAGTCATTCATCTTCCTAATGATTTAATAAAATGAGACGTACACTCCCTATAATTTCTAATTAGACATCAACGTCTTTATGTTTTATACAAATGACACTCACTCCCCTTATGCTCTTAATAAAGTAAATGCAATTTCGCCTGTAAATAAATAAATCCCATTTTATGTTCTCCATTCTAGTATTGGAGCTATATATCTAAGAATTGTTCATTAACATCTTTGCTTTTAGTTACAATTTCATTCTGCCTTATCTCAGGTATTTATGATCACTGAAGATCCTAATCCAGGATTAGAGGGACATGTCTTCCCTAATCCAGTTGATGCAGAAGGTTACATGGTAATGTTGGTGTATAAAAATGGGTCCCTTACCCGAGAAGGTACTGTTGTTGTGATTCTTTGTACAAAACATATAAACCCAAACAAATGGTTCTTGTAGTTTCTAACTCTGGATTCTATTTCAAATGTCAGATGTACGCAACCGTTGTGCAGAGAAATCTTGGGATGTTTTCAATAAATATCTTCAGCAAACACAACCTTTAAATGGTACGTACCACGAACACTTCCTGTGTTATCCACTCTCCTTTCTCACAATGTTTTTTCATAAATAGGTGGAAAGTTAGGCTTCTACTACAAGGACCATGAAATTTTACCTCCTCTTCCAGGTGGCTGTTTAATTGTTGCACTGATAAAGTACTTGTAGTGATAATAAGTTGACTTTGTCTGAAGAAGTTACTGACCAGTTTTTATTGTCTTAGTTGGTTTCCACCGCTATGTTATAGAAAATTTCTCAGACTCACTGGATGAACTGAAGGAACGGGAAGTGGAGGAGTTTGATCCTCCATCTGAGGTTAGGAAAACCATGACAGTTTCTTTGGGTAGTTGAAATCCTAAATAAATAAAACAATTCCATTGAAAAATGAGTTAAATTACAGGTACGGGCACTAATTGAGGGTCAATTTCTCTCAATGCGGGCTCATGCTGAAAGATTTGGAATGCCTTCTCCTCCTAGGAGAATTATAGCCACTGGTGGAGCTTCAGCAAATAAGTGCATCCTTAGCTCAATAGCTTCAATTTTTGGCTGTGATATCTATACAGTTCAAAGACCTGGTAAGCAAAATTTGGCTACTTTCGCATTGTACACTCTTAATGATGTGAAAGTTTGTTTTGACCCACTTATATACATGTTATTGTGTAACGTCTTGGATACCTATTCTGGCCAGTAATGAAATATGAACAAGGTTTTGCTTTTCTTGTAACAAGTATATCTTTATTTCCGTTGCGAACACTTCAAAATATTCATGAAATGGGGATTTGTTGTTATCCTTGTTTCAAAGGGATAAACTAAATTAGATAAAAAAAATTCTTCAACTTGATCACAGATTCAGCTTCCCTTGGAGCTGCATTGAGAGCTGCTCATGGCTGGCTCTGCAACAAGAAGGGGAGTTTTATACCCATATCAGATATGTACATGGACAAAGTGGAGAAAACTTCTCTTAGCTGCAAACTTTCAGTGAATGCTGGAGATCAGGAGCTGGTTTCCAAGTATGCATCCATCATGAAAAAGAGAATTGAGATAGAGAATCGTCTCGTCCAAAAGCTTGGACGCTGTTGAAACATTTAAGTAGTTAATTTTTACATTGAGCTGGTTGTGAATAGAATAAAGTAATTACTCAGTTTAAGCAATACTTTCATGTCTAAAAGTTTAAAAAATAAATACGCAATTATGTTTAATTTATTTCACTTTCTATTTTTATAGTAATGTTTAGTCATTTTGCCTACGTAATGTTTTTAACTTCCCCCCATCTTATCAAAATGATTGAGTGAATTTTAAGGTTTAGTCAATGCATGCTAACCACCCCACAATATACAACAGACTCCAAGCCAGAAATAATCATAACATGGGCGGCTAATGATGAAATTTAAAGTTGTAATAAACTAAATAAGTACTTAATCCAAACATGTCAGCTTTTATTTTTCATTGAGTACTTTCATTAGAAGTCAAGACACCTGTTCACCTTTTTTTTTTAAAATGTCATTTTTATTATTATTATTCTGTCCCAATTGAACAAGGAAAGAAAAGTGAAATGGTGTAAATGTATTCTGTGTATAACTTTTTACTATTTTATTTAGTATTATGTGATTTTATTTAATTTTCTACCAACTTGCTCTCTTGTCACCTAATGATGGTGTTTGTGGCCTTTGAATTGGGTGAACGCGGAATCCTAGTTTTAGACTGGGCATATATTTGAAAGGCCAAGTAAAAAGAAAAGATGGTGCATTTTTTGCTAACGTTTTCAGCCATTTAATATGCTTCATGTCACTATCGGTCGGTGGAAGCATTTTTCATATTTGAGATTTTGCTTAGCAACTTAATGATTTCTTTCAATGCTCAGGCAATAATAAATTTTATTCACAGATCAGTAATCCAATAACAACTAAACAATTATTGATATGACTACATCTACAACTTACGAGAAGAGAGATCAAAAAATTAAATTTCAGAAATTGTGAATAATTTTTTTGCTTTTAAAACACATAAATCCAGCCGAAAATTGAGCATTTGATACCTTTGGTTACAAACTCTTGTTATTTTCTTTCAGACTATTAGCATTTGATATCACACATTTTAGCATATAAAGTTTACATTTAAATATATTTGCTGTCTTAAGTTGAAAGATATATATCATTTGTCTTAAGATCCACCAGCTGGAAGATCCCTTTTTTCCTTTATTTTTCAAACAATACAACCATAAATTATAATTAGATCAAATTTGGTAAAAACCAGAGAGACAGAGACAAGCGAAAAGAATATTGAAACTTCCGTGCCATACACAGCACAAACATAGATATTTTATAACAAGGAAGATTCAAAAAACACACAAAAATTCTTGTCCAAAGAAAACGATAAAGTACACATCAAACCCATGACATCAGACAGATACTTCACATTCTAATATTCCTCATCTCCGTCAACGTCTTCTCCATCGCCAGACTCGGCACCAACCTCCTCATAATCTTTCTCAAGAGCAGCAAGGTCCTCACGAGCCTCTGAGAACTCACCCTCTTCCATGCCTTCACCCACATACCAGTGCACGAAGGCCCTCTTAGCATACATCAGATCAAACTTATGATCAATCCTGGAGAACACTTCGGCCACACTGGTTGAGTTGGAAATCATGCACACAGCCCTCTGCACCTTCGCAAGGTCACCTCCGGGAACAACAGTAGGAGGCTGATAATTGATACCACACTTGAACCCAGTTGGGCACCAATCCACAAACTGGATGGTTCTCTTAGTCTTGATGGTGGCCACGGCAGCATTCACATCCTTCGGCACAACATCACCCCGGTACATCAAACAACACGCCATGTACTTCCCATGGCGAGGGTCACACTTAGCCATCATGGAGGATGGTTCAAAAGCACTGTTGGTGATCTCAGCAACGGAAAGTTGCTCGTGGTATGCTTTCTCAGCAGAGATGACAGGGGCATAAGAGGAAAGCATGAAATGGATCCTTGGGTAAGGAACCAAGTTGGTTTGGAACTCAGTCACGTCAACATTCAATGCTCCATCAAACCTCAAAGAGGCAGTGAGGGATGAAATCACCTGCAATTTGTTCAAATTAATCACAGTCGAACTCAACATTAAATTCCAACTCAAAAACTTCTTCAATGGAGCACGAATGATTTCAAATATATTTTAACAAATCAAATTTAAAACGTACATTTAAAAATAAATCATATTATCATGTTAGGATTAGGGTTCACTATACCTGAGATACCAGGCGGTTGAGATTGGTGTAGGTAGGGCGCTCGATGTCGAGCGATCTCCTGCAAATATCGTAGATCGCTTCATTGTCGAGAAGCACGGCAACATCGGTGTGTTCCAGAAGAGAATGAGTTGAGAGAACACTGTTATATGGCTCCACCACGGAGGTTGAAACCTGAGGAGATGGATAAACGGTGAATCCGAGCTTTGACTTTTTCCCGTAGTCAACCGATAGACGCTCGAGGAGAAGCGAGCCCAAGCCGGAACCGGTACCGCCTCCGACGGCGTTGAAGACGAGGAAGCCCTGGAGACCAGTGCAATTGTCGGCGAGCTTACGGATCCTGTCGAGGCAGAGATCGACAATCTCCTTCCCGATGGTGTAGTGGCCACGCGCGAAATTGTTGGCGGCATCTTCCTTACCGCTGATCAGCTGCTCCGGGTGGAAGAGCTGTCGATAGGCCCCGGTTCGGACTTCGTCGATGACGGTAGGCTCAAGATCCACGAAGATGGCGCGTGGAACGTGTTTCCCGGCGCCGGTCTCGCTGAAGAACGTGTTGAAGGCGTCGTCTCCTCCGCCAACAGTCTTGTCACTCGGCATCTGACCATCGGGCTGAACACAAGAAAACAAAACAAACATTCAAGCCCAAGCCCAAACCCATAATAAAACCCGTAAAGAAAAAATTGGAAAACGTACCTGGATGCCATGCTCGAGGCAATAGAGTTCCCAGCATGCGTTTCCGACCTGGATACCGGCCTGACCGATGTGGATTGAAATGCACTCTCTCATTTTCTCGGCAAAGAAAATGAAACCCTAAAAATTGGAATGAAAAAAATTGAAAGAAAAAATGTAAGAGATGTTTGGGAGGCGTTTATGAAGACGCCTTTTCCCGTTAGCTTGTGAGTGTGGATAGATGTGTTCTTGGGTTTATATATGCCCAGAAATGGGGTTGTCTAAATTTGAAATGTGCGGTTAGAAATTAACTAGGGTTGGGTTAACCCTGGTTTGACAACTGGGATTGGAATAAAAAGCGGTTAGGGATATTTTTGAATGTTACGTTTCAGGTTGCTTTGCTTTTTCTTCCCTCACAATCACAACTAACCGTTGAGTTGAGTCATTTTGAATTTTTATTGATTTCGTTGCATTGCATTCCATTACTTTGCTTGCTCGCAACATCCAAACGCCTCAACACCGTTATAGTTTTTTACTTCTTTTTTGGCTACGTAAATTCGTTACTCTAATTTACATATTTTTTATTTTCATTTCTGTAATATCAAATATTAATATTAAATTTGTGGTTAAATATCATAAAAAATGTAACATCACTTATTATAGTAAATGTTACGTCATTGAGTATGTTTGGTCAACATTTAGAATCACTATCATGTTTAACGGACTAATTTTAGAAGCACATTAATTTCAACCACAACCATTAGAATCGGAATCGCATTAACATACAAAGCTCTTTTAAAAGTTAATTAGAACCTCAAATCAAATTGAGTTTTAAAATTTTGTCATTTCTTAAAATTCTATTTAGGTCGAGAAGAATTGAAATCAAATGGGATTGTATAAGATGAATTATAGTAGTGATATAATCTGATATTTTTTTAGTTTAATTTTTATGTAATGTTACACAGAAATTAATACACTATTAATTCATAAAACTATAATTTGTATGATTTAAAAACAAATTATTGTAAATTCACCAAATTCATCATATATTATAGTAAAAATATTTTAGATTATCAATGGTGTAATATTTACTCATTTTTACTACCATTTAATTTTAAAATAAAGTTATTAAAATTTTTAATTATTATTTTAAAATTTGTCTTTAATATTTTTTCCCTAATTTATGTACTACATAAAAAACTTTATAGACATAAATTATCAGAATAAACAAAAGTATTTAATGAAAATAAAACTAATCGTATTTAAAAGAAAGAGATTAATTACAATAAATATATCTTCTAGATAGCAATGTTGTAGTAAATTATATAAGTTTGTTATTTTTATAATAAATGTATATTTGTAATTAGAGTACACAACTTAAATAATGAAACGATAATTTCATTAATTATTGAATTAAACGTTGTAATTTATATGGCTAACACGTTTGAACACATATTGACTAGCTCTTTTTAAATAAAGAAATTTCTTTATTTAGTCCCAACCAATAATAAACATCACAATTTTTCATTCTTTAGTCTTCTTTGTTAGTATATATTTCAAACATCATGCAAACATATAATAAGTTTTTTACGGTTTAACTTTTTTTTAATCTCTAATATTTTGGATAATTATGATTGTTGGTCTTAATTGTTCTGTAAAAAAGTTCCTTAAAATCGTAAAAAATATCTTAATCTCTAAATACTGAATTTGAAAAATTAAGATAATAAATCCTAATTTTAGGAAAGTTCGAGAATTTCATGGTTGGTATTTATTATTTATATAACAGTGAATTTGAATTACCATATGTATTGGACTGTTAGGCACTGGAAATTTATTTTGTTTATAGTTTTTTTATTAAACATATGTGATGGTAAATAAATCTAAATTAAATTGTCAATAGCTCCTTTTACATAATAAACATTATCTAAATCGAAATAAAATGAACAGAGAAAACTTCGTTTTAATATTTTTGTCTTTGTTTTATAATTTTTTGTTGCTGTGGTTGGGTAAAGTACAAGGAAATTGATGGGCCCAGATTCAGGTCACATGGCATATCATCAAACAGTTGGCCTGTCAACATTTAGTAGATCCTACATTTCTATTGCGGACCACAACTTTTTATCACTTTTTTTATTACTCACCAAATAAAAAATCAATCTTACTCCCAAATAATCAAAACTACACAAGAAAGGTTATACATTCCTGAACATGAAATCAGTGTTACAAGAAAAATGTGACGTAAGATACAGAACAGGCTCAAATAATGTAAGACAGAATAAGGAAGTTTTAATATTTGTGAGATGTATCAACTTCAACCATTTGTTAACAAGACATTCAAATCAATTATTGCTCTTTGTTTGAACATAAAAGCGACAGCACAGTCTGTAGTTTGTTGCTCCAACATCGCAGTCATAGGATTAAGATAATTTTCGGTGCATCATAGGTACGATATGTTGGTATGGATATGAAATGTCTTGAAAACAAAAAAACGAATAATTAATTGCCATTGCACAACAACTTTTTTTGTTTCTTTCACACACAAAAAAAGGTGCAATGAAATGTAAAGATAGAAACTGGGTCCAATATTTATTTTTCAATAAGTGCCAAAAATAGTTGTTAAAATGTAAAATTTGAAGAACTTTAGCATCTAAATTTTTGAGCATTGTAACTTAAACGGCCCATAATTCTGGATCCAAATAATGTCCAGAGCAAAGAGGGATAGGCTCATATGACATTCCCAACAATCGCCACACAACTATGGAGAAAATTTTGAGCTCATATGGGGTGTAGAAATAAAAGTTTTTAGCCTCTTTCGACATAAAATTTCAAAATAAACATCTTTATTAAACACTAGTGATTAATAAACGTTACTAAGTTTTATCTTCCAAATTAAAAGCTAGCAATCAAGGCAAAACAAAAAAAAAACACGTGAAGGCAACAAAATGTTACACAATGTGGCATTTATTTCCAAGGGGCTTCAACCTAGAAGGTGTTGAATAAAAACCCTATTAATTATATTGAAGCCAGATGAAAAGGTTAATTTGTTGGGTTTTTTTTCAGTACCACATGCATGCTATGTTTGAGAGAAGATGGTAGAGGACAACGAATGGCACACATAAACCAAAATGGCGGACAACAAGTATCAATACTTTGCCTGGATAAACAATCCAGTCTGAAAGTAACGGAATCATAGAGAAAATTGCATGTACTAGATTTCCATATGAGGCAAGGAGAAATTGTAGAACCAAGACAGAGAAGTTTGTTATGAATACGATTGATTACCAAGTGGTGCCTAGCATGGTACAAGCGAAGTTTTGAAACTACTTTGGTGAGAGAGAAAATCTCTACACCAAGCACAGATGCTCACATTTTCATTTCCTCTCCCCTTCCTACCTGTGAATAATTATGTCCAAATCCTAAAGGTCACAGCCCAAACAGAAAATTTCAGCTCACAGATTTGTCACCTTGGTCAGCATATAACAAATCAATGGCAAGTGCTTGTAACCTTTTCAAAACACTAAGACAAACTACCAGTAGTTCTCATTTGAAGCTTTCAATCTAATAAAAGAAAACAAAAATGATTCTCCAGCAGGAAGAAGAATTATGCTTCAAGTTAATAACCCTATGAAAGAAAATAATATTATTCGGATTCAAAATTGAAGCCTTGCCATATACTGAATCCTACACTCAGTCACAGAAAATGCACCTTAACTTCATAGACAAGTTGTATAAGATAAGGAAGAAATCAGTTAAAGATTAAAAAGTAAAAATATTCAGAACACAAGAAAGTGTCAAATTAAAATTTGAAGATTATCATGGAAAATTGGAAATTGCTGCTTCCCTGCCTCAACAGTCATACAACAACTCACCTAACATGAACAGATGAAGTCAAGGGCCTAACATGCGGAGAAACAATCACTGGAGCAAAACAGTGAGTCAAGGAGAAAGGAAGTGTTACTCTGCGGTTAAAATTATGAAAATTAAAGTAATAAATTGAAGCAACGGGAAGGAATGTTAGGAGCCCATGAACTAAAACTCTGAAACAAAATGTAGCTAACAGTAGAAAACTTCATCCAATATCCAAAAATTTAGGAAGGTTCTTGTTTGATGATGATGTATACAGGAGAAATTTATATAAGGAGAATCGCCATACTAGCCTACGTGTGTTCAAAACGTTTGACAGGATGCATAATTATTATCAGAACAGTAGCTAATGTCAATTCTTGTCGTAGACATTATGTGTGTCGCTGTACCCAAAAAACAAATACTATCACAGGATGCAAATAATTGTTTCAAGAACGAATGAGGTGAAACTGTAGAGTGTGATGTGTGACGAAACAGAAACATATACAGGACTCTAGCTAATGAAATTGCACAGAAGAAGAACTGTTAGGGAATGTGAAATTGGATTGTAAATGAATTAAAAAGGTGAGTAAAAGTAATACTATTCAGTTCACTCAGAATGTCTGCAGCTAAACAAAAGTTTTTCTTTTTTATTTTTTTGGCTAAAACACTGTAGTCCATTGATTCTTCTTCCATCTTTTCATGAGGAGGTTACTGTGTTCATAAACTACACAGAACGAATAGCTCAATTCACCGGAAATTCTATTCAGACAAATTCACACACTAGTTATATACAAAACAGGCCCCACTAGAGTCAAATCATGCGGCTACTGCTGCATCAGTGAAGAATAAAGGTTGGAACAGTGACCAAAGATCCAACTCCACACACCATGCTCCCTGACATTCTTGGACCACATTTGATCCCATACCTTTTTTCTTACTCCCTCTTCCCGTACACCATTTCACAGAACATCAGCAAAAACAGTGACATCTCACATGTTCAGAGCTAGACGAAATCATTTCAGCCTTATGGTATTCAACAATTATTTTCCTTCACCCCTCACAAAAACCACAATGCAAGAACACTGCTTGAACAAACATCACAAATTGGCAACCCAATAGAAAGGAAAACGAGAAACAAGCAAATTGAAAAACAATATAATCTATTAAAAAATGGAGGAAAAACATAGATACATCATCATTGTGATCATCAGTAATGAAATGGAGGATACATACAGAAGCGAAAGTCAACAAATGATGAAAAACCTCAATAA